TACCTGGCAAATACTTGACAAATTAAATAAAAATAAGTTCAAGTTGAAATTCAGAATTTTTCTGCGGTTCTTTCAGATTGGAGTGTACATATGCAGGAATGGACTTGCTATCCTTTGGATTGGAAAATGTTGGTATCTGATAGAAGAGTCTCTGAATGACAAGCTGAACACGTCCCAGTGTGTCTGGGCTACATTCCAATTTTTGACAATATAAGTGCTTTTCACTTAATCTAGCAACACCTCCACAAAATGTGTAGCTGGACAATTTAAAAAACATCCTTTATGTGGCTTTGACACATATTCCTACCTCTTGAATCCATTGCCATTACTTTCTTAAGCCTCTGATTCAATTGATTTTTTTTTATTATTATACTTGTGATTATAAAGCAGTGACAGGCATATCTCCAAATACTCAGAGGTCAGCCTCAGTTCAAATAAGCATCCAAAAGGGTAGATATTAATCTGAAGGAACTACATAAACTTTTAAGACAGTCTCTGAAACCCATTCTCCTTACTGGTATCAGGTTCTTGATAGTAGAAATAAATTTCAGGACTTAAAACTGAGTTGAAGAGGTTTAGTTTATTTTAGGACATATCAGTAAAAAGAAACTAAAAATCCAGGTCACCTTGCATAGAAAATGTGCTGAGATTTTTTTTCCTATCTCCCTTTCTTCAACTAGTTCATGGACTAAATTATTCTGGGATACATGTTTAAGTCTTCCTACTGCTGTGAAAATAAAGGAGCAAAGCTAAATACATTGTTTTATTAATGTAAGGCAAAAGACAGATAAAATAGTATAGATGAAAAGATATCTGTGTCTTGAAAACTAATTATGACTATTTAAAATTGCCTGAAATGATAAGTCTCCTCTAGAACAACACAGGAAATGTTTTAGAATTTTTTTTGTCATAAATTACAAGAAAAAAAAGACAAATAAAAAAATAAAAAAAATTTCTTCAACAGAAAATCTGCCAGCAGACTTATTTAGGCCAAAAAAAGTAAAATAAAAAAAAAAATCTATATTGGAAGTTGACTTCTAAATCAACAGATAACTTTAAAGATGTTTTTTCTACAATATTTATTTTGATATGTGTTTGGTAGAGACTGCTGCTAGCATAAATGTATAAACTGCAGTTTTCATTTGTGTTTCCTCTGAAATTCTTAAATATTTGTTAAGGCCATATATATTGCACTAAACTGTCTTTAGTATGTAAGAATTTCTAAATTCCTTTTAGAAAAGTTATTAGGGCCAGATCTTATACACAGCACATATGGACAATGTGCTATAAGTCAGGGTATAATTGGAAAAGACTTTTAAATGGCCTTTTTTCACTGCCTTGTTGCTAATAATGATCAAAGTGTAACCATATTGTTTAGAGAAGCAGTCTACCCTAAGGGTTCTACCAACCTGTACTGTTCTCTGATAGTGGCCTTAAGCAGAAAGTTCACCACAGATTGGTGTGGCAAAGCAAAGGGGGATCAGTTTTCAGCCCCTCTTGTACTAATATTAGTTCAGGAACTGTAAGCAGTTCCAAGAACATCAGCTCTTGCCATATCAGTGTTCTTGTCTAACTCAGTTTAAAAGGATATAGAATGAGATGGCAGAGGCAGCATTGTGCAGGTGCAAAATTCTCTGCATCTGTTACTTAGGTGCCTCTACCTTTCTTCATCACAGCTTTTGCTTGAAGTCACAGGCTCTTCTCCCATATGGAAGCTCTTTTTTTCCCCCTGCTTTATATTGCTTTATATTGCTTCCCTATGCCTTCCTTAACACACCTCATCCATTTCATAAAAATTTGCGACTTCAAACACTCTGTTTTTTTCCCGTCAGGTGCCAAACTCTATTTATAAGGCAATGTTCTTGGTGATTCAGGTTTAAAGATACAGTCAGGTTGTATTAGCTTAACAAACTGTTATCAGCTGAACTATGCTTCTCTATCCATGTCTGCTGTAAGGTAATGCAGTGTATCACACACTTGAACACAAGGGGATGCCTTGCATGACCTCACACTGATGGTGACAGTAGCTCAGCTGATGTGCCCTGTGCTGTTTTATTGCTGCAAACCAGGGGTAGGCTCCTCTATTAGTGAAATGGAGAAGGCTTGAAGGGAAGAATTTTAGCACACCCCCACATGGAGTGTCTTAAAAATTAGTACCAGGAACAAAAGCTAACACCAGCCATAGACCTGCACCCCCACACCACGCACACACACACACACATCTAAGCTCTTCAAGAGTAAGAGAGGGCAGGGGTATAGGCTAGACAGTTGGTGTCCTTTCAATGAGAATAGTTTTACTGAGGTCACATGAATGAAAATTGTGATGTGCACAGCAATTTACATGAAATTATATATACAGTTTGTCTTCCCTAAGTTCCAGCTCTGGATAAAGATGCAGGAGCTGATATCTTTATTTGATTCAGTTTATGGGATGCTTTGAAGGGGTTGGGTGAGAGCAGAAAAAAAATAAATTTCAGTAGACAAAAATTAAACCAAATAATTAAATCCCAGTCTTTGTTCACAAGGTCTTTTTTGAAGCTGCCTAATGAAACTCCACTACATTCTTCTCCTTTACGTGGTTGTTAATGCTGCTTTCAGGTAGGAGAGGGAAGGAGGTAGTATAATGTAAGATTTAATTTTGAACTGTATCGTAAACCAGCTTTCATAAAGCCCAACAACAGTGAAGTGGTTCATTACATTTTGGAGTGTCTGATGTAAATAAGGTCCCTGAGTGTGTGTGATCAATCTTTCCAAGGGCCAAAATATTTTGCTGTTCCCAAGCTTGATTCCCTTGTTCAGACTGAAAAAGCTCAGCCCACATGCATTTAGAAACTGACTTGAATTTTAATTTTATTCTAATGGCTAACTGTGTCTGCTATGGTTATCTGACTCTAATTCCCCCAAAGAAGCCACTTTGCTTTTGTAGAAACACTCTGGAAATTTTATAATGTTATTGACCAAGTCAGAAATGTGCAGTCATGTAAGTCAGAGTTGCTATACTCAGTGTATGAGATGCAGAATTTATTCTATTACCAGTTATCCAAGGAGGAGGAAAGACACGTTTACAAACTTCTGCAGAAGACATTATATAAGTGGTAACTAGCCCCTTTTATTTGACCATAGTTATTTACAGCCCACATTGTTCAACTACCATTGTCACTTACTGCTTACTTCACAACTCTGTGGAGCAAGGAGGCATCTTAGTTTGTAAAGCAGAAGTTAAAAGGATAGAACCACTCTGTCTTTATTTTAATATTGTAACATTTTTATGTATGAGAGGGCATTTTTCAGTGGTATTGAAAACCTAACTCCTTTTGTGATCCATTTATTTTGTCTGTGCATGTCAAACAGTTTCTCTCTCATTCTGTTTAAAAAAAAAAAAAAGACACCTTAATATTAGAAAAAGGGTGTATGATGACTTTTGACCAGAGCTTTCACTGACCCCAGTGTGATTTCAATGCATAGAACTCTTAATTTTTATTTCTTCTTATTTAGTTTAAAAAGAATAAAAACAACGTCAGAGCCACTTTCAAAGTCATAGCTGAGTTATACACATTTGCTCCCGGCATCCAAGGCAAAACGATTCCAAAGTTTGAGTGTTCAGTACGGAGTAGAAGTGACAGAACAGTTTGTCAGTGGAGAACATTGTATAGAGCTATTTAAAGGTTGTCCTCGACCTTTCCACCTCTTTTAAAGCCTCATGAGACAGATTTAAACTTCTCTTCTGCCAGTTGCCTACTGTCAGTTCCATATTTGTGTTTGTTCTCTCCATGCTATGGATGTAAAGTATCAGAGCACATTATGAGGAGATCTTCCAAATCCTCTTTTAAACTCTTGTCTGAGAAAGAGACCTCAGATTCAGCCAGGTCAACCTTGGCACTTAAAGTTCACAGAAATGCTTTTGTTTCCTTTATCTCCTCTTAAGCCAGCTTTTTACAGGTGGTGGATTGAAATCTGACCTCTATAAAGACAGTGAAAGTTTTCTTATTGGCATTGATGAGTCCAAGATTTTAAATACTATTTACATGTGAATTTTTTTCTGAGATACATATGTGGATACATATATATATGTATCTATGCAAATACATGTGTTATACTGGTAAATTACACGTTATAAGGCTAAATTTTTATATTGATTGTAAGTAGATTTCTAATATTAAAAATGCTCTACCAATAGGACTTTTGTCCATTTATGAGGTGTTAAAAGAGTGCTATTTTCAACACAGCCTTAAGGGAAAAATTATTAAATACTGATAGTACTTACATGTGCCAACTTCTTCACTGCTCAACCCTTTAATATATAATGCCCCAAAAGATAGCACAAATAGGTACTACCACGAAGACACTGTTAATTGCTGAAAAATCACTTATTTTATATTGAAGAATCCTACAGAATTCTTGATCTTTAGCCATAAATGTAAAATACAGAAATGGAGTGAGAAGTAAGTTACTAGAAGGAGTTGTATTCTTTGATTTATTTATTGTTAACTTCAGCATCCTCATTTGAATAGAGCATAAAAGATTAAGTAATGTTGTGCTTACAGATAAGGAAAAGTCCACAATTGGTTCATGTAGCTGTTGGTTCTCACATCTGGCTAGTTTGGAGATGTCATTGTATGTGTTTCTGTGTCAAAATTGGTGTAATATGTGGAGCATTAGCTTTTACTTCACGTTCAAGTGAGGTGGCAACGTTTAATACAAAGATGGAACGTAAGAGCATAGCTGATCTCAAGAAATGTGAAACTTCAAATTTCATCAATTCAACACAATTTCATCAGTGAAATAGCACCTTATTATTGCAAAATCTGCCTTCACTATATGCTACTGTAACCGTCGTTCTCTTGTAGTCTAAACACAGTAAATACAGTGAGTGCTGGAAATAGTTTTAGATAATTGTTAATGTATTTCTGGTAACTGTACCTATCTCTCAACTATATCACCTCTAGCAATGCAAAGTGCTAACTGAAAAAAATTTTTTTTCTTTATTCCTTCCTTTGAAGACAAAGACAGGGGTTTGTTTGCTGCAGGATGGTAACCAGGAGCCTTTCAAAGTGCGACTGCACTTAGCCAAAGATATTTTGATGATCCAGGAGCAGGATGTGATCTGTGTGTCTGGTGAGCCTTTCTATTCTGGTGTAAGTAGTTTTTATTTCTTCTTTAAGATGTTCTTTATGTGTGTGCAAGTGCATATACACATATGTATGCATTTACTCCCATGGTTTGCTACTTCATTTTATACTGTTAACACTAAGTGTGTTTTAATATTTCATCTTTTGCAAGTAAATATTAGCAGTACTCATCTAAAGCAGCAATAAGATGATAAATTATATCTGTGAGTACAGTATTTTTTCTCTTAACTCACCCTTGGGTACTGGAACAATTGAATGCAGGAGAAATGACATGAGCAGTGGTTTTTGCAGGGAGTACAGATACCTCCATGTACTCAGATATCTAAGTATTGCCTGTGGAGTTGATAAGATAGTTGTGGCAGGGCTTTGCTGGTAGAGGAATTATCTTCTATCCTGTGTTGCTTTGATTGCTTCCTATGGTAGCACAGCACTAGATTTCATGTATGCTGTGAGGGTCACTAGTTTTACCAGCACATCATGGATGGAACAGTAATAGTGTGTTTTATGTATTACTGTTTTTACATGATGTGTCAGATTTCTGATTTAAGCACCATATTGAATCTTGTGCATAGGAAGCTGAGCTTTGTAGACAATTATTTGGAAGATGTGTAAATTTTTATATAATTTTTATATATTGTAGGTTTTAGTACTATTGTAATGGTAAGTTTTAATTTAATATTAGGAGATAGCTACAAAAAAAACTGAAACCATTTAGTATTCATTTCTATAGACTCTTATAGATACTGTAATTATGTTTTGTAGAGATATTTTTAAGATTTATGGGAAACTATCATAAACATTCTGCTGTTCCTTTGAGCTAAATAAGATTATCATAGGATTTTATGTCTTGTGAGGCGTAGTAGTGCAATATCTGTTTATGCAAATGTTATGTGAATGCTATTATGTCTGTCTGTTTTATTATTTAATTGCTGCTGTTATCGCATACCTGTATCTCTAAATACAAGTAAAGTAAAAAGATACAAAGCAGAAACAAGAAATAAATTGGTAGAAAGTTAGCAGTTCTAACAGTGTGGAAGATTAATGGAAAATATATCAAATAATCTATCTCAGGATTATAAATATCTCAAGGTGAAATTTTCAGAGCTTTTGTCTGAAACAAGAGGAACACACTACCTACACTGTCTCCATACAATCTGGGTTTATTTGCATGAAAAATCTGACTTTAGCTTTTGACCATTTCACGCTGTACAAATACTGTTTACTAACACAGGTCTGTGTCCTTTATGTGGAGTATATACGCTTCTTTTACCAATCAGAATGTTCTGTTCTTAAATAGAGGGGACATCTAACAGCCAGTATAGAAAGAAGTTATGAGTTGAAGCTCAAGTTGTAGTAGTTCAATTAGCAACATACACTGTGGCACCATTATTCCACCAACACCATTCTGGCATTATTTAATAAAAGATTTTATCACTCAGAAATACAACTTTCATTATTCTGCTATAATATCTGTTACTCTGCTGAACTTGTTATTTAGATGTCTCCATGAAATGCATATTAATTTTTTTCCTTTTCACAGTAAGGCTTTCTCTTACAGTTTTGCCCTCTTTAACTTTACAAAGGCTCTGTGGAAAATAGTGGATTATTTGCTTCACCAATTAAACTCCCTCATATTATTTTCATATTGAATTCATAACTCACAATCTGATTGATATTACTGTGATAATGAGAAGTTTCTTTTTCCTGGAAGTGTCATTGTTGGACTACTGACTTTTCAGTCCTTCACTCTGATTTCCTCTGGGATTAAGAATAGATTTTGTAGCAATAAATCCATTCCAACTAAGGATGATTGCCATTTCACAAACAGTTAGCCATCCTTTTGTCACAGATAATTTAAATAATCTGGTATCATGTGCTTTGATTGTATGCTATAATCAAACAAGCCCCACAGGCTTCTTTTTTTTTTCTGCTGATTTTCCTCATTTTTATTCCTAATTTATTAGGTTTATTTGTTTTTCTTATATTTTACTTTGTTTGGTTAATTTTGTTTTATTCTTTCTGTCATTCTAGATAAGTGACCACATTTATTTTTTTTTACCTGAATTCTACAAAGCAAGTGTTTTCATTAGCAACTGGCACTGAATGCCTCAGAGAATAAACTCTAAAACATAAAAAAAAATTGTAACTGAGAAATGATAGTATTGTTAAGTTTTACAGATGAGTAGCTACAATAAGAGTTCTTTTAAATTTGTTTTAATAAATAACCTTCAAATAATTTGATTATAAGGTTTTTCTTTATCACTTCTGCACTGGTATGGAAGGAAAGGCTGTTACTGTGTTTCTAGTTCAGAACAGTATCCCTTCTGTTCGTGGAGTCTGAATCAATTTGCATGCTTCTCTGTGTAGGACAGACTTTAAACAGGCACTTAGCGTTCCAGCAGCATCCTGATTTGTATCCTGTGGAATAATCTAAATGAAGTCAATGGCTCCTTAGGAATGAAGTGCTGTTTAATGTGAGTGCATGGGATAAGGACCTAGTTCTTAATTTAGAACGCTTCCCTTCTGATGGAAGACATTTCTAGTTTCCAAAACCTTGTTTATTCTTTCATTGTGTGGAGTTTGGAGTAAGAAAATAAAATGTATAAAAGATTATAAGCAACAGTGTTAAACACTAAAAAATAAAGCATCTCTTTCTTTAGTAGGCTGAATGAAATTATGGTGTTAGTGAGGGTCCTGCAGCAATAGTACCTTTAACAATTCCGTAAAGCAACAACAGTAATTCAAACTATCATGGATTAGATCAAAATTTGGGCATCAGTTGCATCAATAAGCGTTAAATAGATTTCTTTATGTATGCAACAAGAAAGACTTGCTTTCCAAGAGAAAGAAGCATAGTGAGGTCAGCATTATACTGTTAGTGGACATCTGATGTAGTTTTAAACTCCAGTGTGAACAACCAAAAGTGAGATGAGAACATTTAGTGAAACTCAAAGCCTAGAAAGCAGTGTTATTACAAACCCAGATTAAATCCTTACCTGTAGAAAGGCTTTATAGTACGGGAAATGTATGTCTGAATTGGAGTAGCTTGTGTTCTGAAGATATCCATGAGTCTGCCTGTGGAAAAAATGGAAGATAAGACTAGTGTCTGTCAGGTCTGGTATACCTTTTTCTCCCCTAAAAAACTGGACACATATTTAAATTTTTGAGACTTCTTGAGAGTTAATTTTTTTTTATCTGTTACATAGAATCATTATCTTTTGAGAATTATTAATTTTATTTTTATATATTTTGGTATTGGTAAAAAAAGTTCAATTAACATTAGCAATTTTAATGAATAGAAATAGAAGAAAAAAGTGAAAAGCTTGAAATAATAAATAATGAGTTTGATTTATTTTCTGTATTGTCTTTATTTACAGTTTTGATTCTGATGTGTGATTGAATATTATAAACGATGTCAAAACGAAACTCCCTGTCTTGGAGAGAATTGCAAATATGTGGACAGATAGGTCACCTTTCAAGCACTTTCCATTCTTGTTACCCTCACAAAGCTAGCAGTAAGAATCTTTGGGGTTTTTTTTATAGTGTTGGTATCTGTCAGCTATTCAGTGGAGTGAATCCATTTTTTCACAGAAGTCGTCAAACATCTATCAGATGGGGGTAACTTTTTTTTCTCCTGCCAGTCTGGGCATCTTTAAAGTGACAACCTGACAGATGTAAATATGATTATTTAGGGAAAGCCTAAGGTGGCTTATTTTTCTGCAGCTATTTAAAAGTAAAAAGCATAGCAATCAACTGAGGTTCAAATTGCATTTTATAATGCCAAATTTGAAAGAGAATAATAACTTTTCCTAGTGTGAGTTCAGATCCATAATGACTTTGGGTTTATAGTATGTGGTTGTTTTTTTCTCTTTTATTTCTATCTTGAGAAATGCAGCACTTCTGAAATAAATCAGTCCTAGGACTAGAAATTTTATAGTAAATATTTAGGAGAATGTTTCAGCTTTTAAGCATATGCTGGAGGAACAGGAATATTTTGAAGTGAGAACAAGCAAAAGGATGAGTGCTTTTGGTTATTCCAGCCAGTACACCACTGTGTTTACCATCCTCAGTCTCCAGCACAGCTGCAGAGGATGGGGGACTTCCAATTGACCAGTCATTCTGCTGTCATCCCTTACTGCTAACCTTCTCCAGTTGCATGAGGAACTGAAATAATGAGTTAAGCTTCAAATGTCACATGATGGAAGTTAGGAGATGAGCAACTCTGCTGGCAAACCTTGTTAACACTATTAATTCAACTTGGAAATGTGACTGACCTTTTCTCTGTCCTTTACAATCAGAATGAGCATAAAGTTTGACTGCTCATGTAAATTAATCCAAAGAAATGTCGGTAAGAAAGAGCAAAGCATTACCAAAAAGAGGATATAAGATCTTGAAAATGTACGCAGTAATTAAATGAAAGGAAAAAAAAATCTAATGATGTTTTCTTATTTCAAAATGTAGTGGGATTACTACTGATAAACTATATAAGAGCATGACCTTAAAGATATTATGGCATCCAATGTTAACGGGTTGATCTATGAAGTTGCTGTCAATGTGTTAATTTTATCTTTATAATACTATATTTTAAAATTTATGTTCTAACATTTTCTTCCTTTTTTTCCCCTACATTTTTCTGTGTCACTCTGCTATTGTAGATTCCTCTCCTGTTCCTTTTTTCTCACCTACTATTTTGTGCACACATTTAGCTTTTTATCAGTTTTTTTCCATACATGTAATACCTTGGTGTCTGTTCTATCCACAGTGAAAAGAGAGGTCTTGCTTTCTGTCTGGTCCTAGACAAATTTATTCTTCAAACCTTTACTCTTATAAGAACAATACCAGACATACCAGATGAATAACCGCACACTGGGAAACCAGTGTCCCTAACTGAAAATATAAAATTTATATTCTAGGAAAAAGGTTGAGTAATGGTATATTTAAGTTTCATATGCAGTTAGTTCAGTTTTATGAAGACTTTTGAAGTTTTTTCATCATTTTCAACTTTTCCTTGACTTCTTTCATAAGGACACATTATTAGATTATTATATCACATTAGATGACTGCTTTATATTACAATAATTAGAAAGGATTACTTACTAATCATTATTTCTAAGAATCAGTTAAGAAATTAGAAACTTTCTTTTACATCACATACCACTCAATATCAAATATTTGAATCTTTACTGTACTCTAAGATTTAATTCTTAAAAATAACATTAACTCTCGATTAATGCAAATAGTTAATGATTGCATAGGTTTCTATGCTTTCCTTTCCTCATTATTCACAGTTCCTCATGTGAACTGTGTGTTCACATGGTCATTCTTTACTTCTGATCTCTCTTAAGATGATATTTGTGTTCTCAAGAAGACCATATGGATTTTAAGGAGAAATTTTAATAGTTCTTTAATGAAAGCCTAAAAGATATTGGTTTTGTTTCACTGCATAGCTCAGAGGAAGATTTTTATTTTCTTGGTAAAACTCTTAGCTGTCCTTTCCAGTCAATGAACATATGTGTGGATGAGGAATTTTCTGAGTTAAAGGCATGGAAAATGCTGACAGAATGGCAGCAGCTTTGTGTTTTTCAATAAAATGATAACTAATTTTGTTCTGTTCCAGGAAACAGCTAAAATACTGTTCTGAATCTTACTTTTAAGGATCCTAGGAGCTCTAACTTTCCTTCTGTTTGCTATAATATGGATAAAAAAAAGTCATAATAGAATTACAAGATCACAGAACATTTTGTGTAGTCTTGATAGTAAACTAAGTAGGTTTTCATCTGACTGAAGTTTTATTTTGCAAACTTGGACATGAAGCTGCTTTTTGAATTTGCAAAACCACTGAAAATTTTGCTATGCAAAAAGAAGGGAAAGAGAAACTAAGTGAAATACTAATAGAGAAATCTATAGCAGACAGGGATTTTTAGTAAGACTTTTTTAAAAGCAGATAATTCTAACTAATGTTCCAGTATCTTTAACATGAAACAACATAAATGGTCAATCAGGATACTTAGAGTACTTCTTTACTGGTACAAAATATGTTGCCTTCCAGAGCTGTCGCCACATTTTATTAATGAATAATTTTAAATCATTTTAAGAATTTATAGCTATTGGAGTAGAGAAAAGTGTTTTATTATTGTTATTGTTAATTTAAAATGCTAATTAGAGGCATCAGAACAAAATAATTTGCTTCAGTTTGCTGGTCAAACCTCTTTATTGCATTAATCATTATAATAAAAATATTATTTTACGTTACAATATAGTACTTTGCAGACAAGGTTTATTCAGTTCACCTGGGTTGAAAACGGCACTGAAAATTCAGCTTGGTTTGGGGTTTTTGAGAGTCACATAAAAAAAGTCATATGCAAATTACAAAGTAAAACTTACTTGGATAAAGGAGTTTTTTGACAAAAGTTTTCAAAGCCAGTATCCACCATCAAAATACTTTTTCAAGTTACTTAGCAACTCTAAAAGGAGGGAATCATCATTCCCAAGTTAGATTTGACATCCTGCCTCTATACTCGATGAAGGTGATTAATACCTAACTTGGGCACCTACTTTGAATCACCTGGATTGACTGTGTTTATTTTTCTTTACCAATTACAAAAGAAGACCTGACCAATGGCTCAGTTTTAGATTGAATGATGGATAACTGTGGTTTAATGAGTCCTATCATTTTTGTTTCTAAACTTCTGGGGTAAAAAAAAAGAAAAAAAATGGAGGAGATGATCAAAGATGGGGCCTAATCCTAATCCAAAATTCTAGTGCATGAAATGTCTGATGCTTCTGAAAGTTCTGGAAAAGCTGTTTCACTGTAAGGTTTATGTGAGGTTTGAAATTGCAGACTAGGGGATTATTGATGTTTTACTAATGAAATACATAACTTGTACGTAATTCTGATTTGTATTTTTGAAGATCATTGCATATTTGTTATTGTTAGCTATAACGCTGCAAAGAATATGTAAGTCTTTACACTTGAGATACATCAAAGTGTTATTTCTTTATTGTAAGACTGAGAACTGTTTTTAATTAGCCCAAGTTAAATGCAATACAATGCTTTCATTACGCATAGCACATCGCTCAAGTGGATCTAGTTTGCAGTATGTTTTTGAAATGAAATTCATTTCAATAAATGTCTAGTTCTGAACTATTTAATATCAAATTTCAATGGCGATAGAAAAGAAACTAGAGAAAATACTAGACCAAACCCTCTGATAAATTATGTTATGTGGGGAAATTACAGTTTCTTGAAATTTTTCTGTTTTCTTGCTTCTCCACAGTATTGCCTGTTTAGTAATCTGCTATGCTAGCAAAGTATTTCTGAAGCATGTGTTTCTTTCACTTAAAAAAGTAATGCAGCTCTTGGATGAAACTAGATTGGAAAATGCACTAAAGGAGTGCAGTGCATGTAATTCAACCTGTAGTGTTCAATCTGCATTTGAATTCAATTTAGTTCTATTTGAGGTGAAGACCTCTGAAATCCATATATTGTGCCCTAACTGTCAAACTCCACAATTCTGTTCCTAATGCATTGCAATACTTGCTAGTATAGTGTGAATTGAAAAAAGATTTTTTTGTCTGAGACAGGACCTCTGCTTTTCTTCCAGATTTTGTCTTTTTCCTCTGCAGCGTAGGTTTCGTGGGATTTCCACATTTGGAAACTCAGAACTTTATTAAAACAAGAAAAGTCAATGTCTGATGGAAGCAGAGAAACAGATTATTGATTTGTGAATATAGTTGTTCTGGTAGAAAATATTTAATCTAACAAAATTTGATTTTTTTCCCCTCAGGAAAGAACAGTAACGATCAGAAGACAAACTGTAGGAGGATTTGGATTAAGTATAAAGGTAGGATGATTTTTTTTGTCTGTTATTCCGTGTTACACAAAAGTTGTCTTCATATAGTCAATGTTACTTTTAATGAGGACAAACTGTACTTTAAAGGACTAGAAACAAGAGACCAAACGTATTCTAGTATGGTAGATACTGCCACAGTAGGCAACCAGCAACTACGCTACCCTATGTAATGGAAGACAATGGAAAGATTCAAGCTGACCAACTCTGCAATAAGATTTTGTATAAGAGTTGAGAGGTGTTTTCAACTGCACAGACTGTACTTTTTTCAGCAGCACTCTAATTTGAATGCTTATTAATGAATGCTTAATTACAGCAGCAGGCACATGGAACAGCCAATAAGTTCTTCATCAATTCTCCTACAAAGAATATCGCCTTAATTCACTGCAATTCATTAGTAGGACAGAAAGTGTTATTGCTTGCTCATATGGTTTATTTTGCTGCAGATCAAGCAAAGATGGCAATTTATCATGTTACCATGTTTTTTGCTTTCTTCAGTGAGATTCAAGAATGTATATAAGCATAGGTAACCCTTTTTTGAGTAGGGAGGGATGAGAGGGAGAAAGGGTTAATAATTTTTGTCATAATAATCTATGATTTTGAAAACCATACCTTACCTTTGAATCTGAATGTAGACAACACAAGATTAATTTTATCTTCTAAGCACAGCTGTCCTCAGTCTTAAGATAGCAATGGAAAAAATGAAATGTACTTCACATGAATGCAGAGAGGCTTAAATTATGCATATAAAGGGAAAGTATAGATTTTCTTCTGAACATCTGCTAGTACTTGCCTTATAAGGGACTCATAAGAAGGATTAATGTGCATTTGTGTTGTCATTGATAAGAATATTACTGAATAGAAATACTAATTTTTAAATATGTCTTGGTATGCTTACTATTAGTTTGTTGACCCATGAAGACCTCTATTCAAGGAAACCTTTCTCATCGGTTTGGTCAACAGCACCTCCATTATCATTATAGGTTATAGTTCACTGAATAATGATGAAGTAATGCATGTCAGTGTAAAATCAAGTGCATGGGTAAATGAGGTTTTACTTAGCTGGTATTAAGAAAAAATGGGTTACATTAAGAAGTTTTTATGTTTGGAGGGCAAATCTCCAGAGTCACTAAAGCTGATTTTTGTACAGTGGTATTACTCTACTCTCCATTGCTGGCAAAATCCTGGCAAGAATACTCTTGAACAGACTAATAGCTGCTATTGCAGAAGGAATTCTACCTGAAAGCCAATGTGGTTTCAGAGCCAACAGGAGTACCACAGACATGGTATTTGTCCTCAGACAACTGCAAGAGAAGTGTAGGGAACAGAACAAACGACTCTGTATAACCTTTGTCAACTTCAGGAAGGCTTTCGATACTGTGAGCAGAAAAGGTCTATGGCAGATTTTGGAACGTCTAGGTTGTCCCCTTAAATTCCTTAAAATGATCATCTTACTTCATGAGGATCAGAATGGTGTGAAACAAGGCTGTGTTCTCGCTCCAACCCTTTTCACAGTCTTTTTCAGCATGATGCTCCAAAGGGCCACGGCAGACCTCAATGATCAGGACGGTATCTACATTTGGTACTGTACTGATGGAAGCCTTTTCAACCTAAGGCGACTGAAGGCCCACACCAAGACCTTAAACCATCTTGTCCGGGAGCTGCTTTATGCTGATGACGCCACCCTTGTTGCCCACACAGAAGCAGCTCTGCAACGTTTAACATCCTACCTTGCAGAGGCTGCTGAGCTCTTTGGGCTGGAATTCAGCTTGAAGAAGACAGAAATCTTCTATCAACCTGCGCCTCAGGAAGTCTTCCATCATCTCTGTATCACCATTGGCCAATCAGAGCTTAAATCAGTCCAGCAGTTTAATTACCTAGGTAGCCTCATCTCCTCAGATGGTAAGATTGATGGGGAGATAGACAACAGGTTAGCAAAGGCATATAGTGCTTTCAGAAAACTCCATAAAAGAGTATGGTGTAATAAACACTTGAAGAAAAGCACCAAGATCACTGTTTACAGAGCCATAGTGCTGTCTACTCTCTTATATGGTTCTGAATCATGGGTCATCTACAGCCACCACCTGCATCTCCTAGAACGCTTCCATCAACACTGCCTCCTTACAGTCCTAAACAGCCACTGGTCAGATTATGTGACCAATACATCTGTTCTAGAACAGCAGTCACAAGTATTGAGGCCATGTTGCTGAGAACACAGCTGCGATGGGCAGGGCACGTCTCAAGGATGAAGGACCACCGCCTCCCTAAGATCCTGCTTTATGGTGAATTTGCCACCGGCTGCCGCAAGAGAGGAGCCCCGAAGAAAAGATACAAGGACTCCCTGAAACAACATCTCAGCCTTGGCCATATTGATCACCATAACTGGTCTACTCTGGCCTCAAACTGGGAGGCCTGGAGACACACCATCTGTAACGCTGCCGTTTCCTTTGAGAACACACACAGGATCACTCTCGAGGAGAAAAGACAACGCAGAAAGAATCGTGTCTTGCAGAATATACCACCTAAGGAGTCTTTCTGCTGTGCCTTTTGCAATCGGATATGTCTATCTCATATTGGCCTCATTAGCCTCATTAGCGTGCTTGTAACAAACGTGAATAGAGCCTTCCTAAATCTTCGTTCATGAAGCCTAACCATGATGATGACAATTTAGAACTAAAATTGCTACAATTTAGAATTGAATTGTTACCATTTAGAACTAAAATTGCTGACAATTTCAAGATCATATTTTTAAGTGTTATGTACATTGTATGAAATAAAATATAATTGAGAAATATAAATTAAATAGTGAATGTGCAATGGTCTTTCTTAAATTAGTGGAGTGATATACTCTTAAATTTTTAGCTCAAGATATCAATTTTCTAGGATTCTCTAGTGGTTTGGACCTTGCTTTCCCCCAGAGGCTAAGAAAAATGGTAAAACCCCAAGGGGTGGAAACCCCTGGAAGTTTTGTCCAATGGGCACTCCTGCGAAATGTAAACATACCACAACCAGACCGGAAGAGAAGAGTTGTTGTTTGGTTTTTGGAGGTGATGTGGCCATGTTGTAGAGCCACGAGGAAGGGGCTCAGAGCCCCACAGGGGGGCTTTGGCCCCCCAGCCCCCAGTAGGGCCTGCGGGGACCTGGAACAGCATAAAGCTGGACTAAGTGTCTGTAGTTATGCCGGGAGATGTTTTCTCCACTGTGGGCAGAACTGAACCAGACCTCCCCCAAACTCCTTTGAGACCTCCGAGAAAGGAGGAGTAGATGGACTCCTATTTGAGAGGAACCTTGGAGTACAGCAGCACCGGAGAGAGAGAGGAGCTGAGAAGCTCAGTCGTCCTGAGAGCTGAGCCAGGACGGTGTGGGAGGTTGGCCTTGGGGGCCCTCCCTTGCTGCAAGCTACAAAGAAGCTCGCAGCCTGAGACAGGGCACAGAGGCCCTGCAAGGAGCTTGAATCTCCTGGAGATACCAGACTGTCACGAAGACCCCCTGCGTCTCGTGATATGACCGTGGTGGAACGACCTTTGTCTGGGGTGATGTAGCCCACAGAAGACCCCTTTGCCTGCGTCAAGGGGCCGAGGGAGCTTGGATACCTCCCTCGTGAGTGCTGGCAGAAAGCCAGCCACAGCTGCTGCATGCATGAGATGAGGAAAACTGGTTGCCTTAGAAGATACTGCTGTTCAGAGACTGGAAGGGATCTTCTTCCCTCCTGGACTTTTATTTGGAGGGGAGAAGAGATCTGATCCATTGTAAATACTATATGTCATGGTAGAGATAGTTGTGATCGTGTGTATAATGTATTACGATATTTATTTGTACAGTCATTGTAATATATATTCCCTTTCCCCCATTCTGAGTCTGGCGTGTTTTGTCTGGAAAACCCATCTCATATTAGGTTGAGATGTGACAGGGGGCTAGGACTAGGGAATTAGGATTTTGGAGAATCTCAAACCATGACAGATTCATAGATATTTTGATCAAAATTAATCTAAGTAGTAGAAAGGTGAAGATATGTAAATTCAGGTGCAAGTAGACAATTTCTAATTTTTTGAATAATTAACAATCAAGTGATGAAATCCCTTCAAAAATGTCATTAAATAGAAAAGAGATCACATCTATCAATGTGTGTTAGCCAGTATGATTTATTACTTTAAATTATTTTTTAAAAATCAGTTAATGTAGGACCTTCTTTGCCAGACCCCTTTATTAGTAATTCTAGATTCTCACAAAGAAAGATTAACAAAAAATTGGAAGCCAACACAAATAATTAATTTAATCTGTAATAAGAGATTATATTAATATACATATTATATATACAATAATATTATGATTATGATGATATTTATATATAATTTTAAGTTAGCTGTAAGAAATAACTTAGAACTGAAACTTAAAGTAACTTTTTTTAGTTTAGTAGACAAACTTTATGAAGGCTCATAGAAATGGGCTTTTTAGGTATACCATGAAGTGTCAGTGTCAGTTCCAAATACTCTGAAAAATGCTAGTTTTCTGTGTAAAATGTGTCATTCAATAATGGTATGCTTCCTAATGAATATGAATAAAAGTTAACTACTTTGTTTTGTTTTGTTTTGGAAGATTCCTGACCTTCAGTGAAGAACTCGTATTTGTTATTAGTTTTAAATAGAAATGTTATTATTTTGAAATAGTGCCTGAAAGTAGAGGTCTATAAGTCATCCTGTAGGAGTGAGATGGACTGAGGCCTCTCCTCCTTGTGTCAGTAATTCCCACAGCCTCACGAACTACAGTAGTTTCTGTTGTCTTACTACTCTCAGATTATTTAAAGATGGGGGCTATCTGAGGACTTAATTTCTGGCTGTGGCGTATATCAGAGGATACAGTTTATCTGAGCTGTTAATTACAGCAGTACCATGATTAATGACCCTCACTTTAGAATACTTGCTTGTTACGATTTTGTCTAGATTTAGCATTCAGTTCTAGGGCACTATGATGCTTTTTTTCTGCTAACTTAAACAGCCATTTGCTGTCAGATATCTCACATGATCAAGATACCTTTTAACTTTTTTCTTGTGTAAATTTTGGAAGTGTCTTCTCCCACCTTAAGTATTTTGGACCCTTGGAATTTTATTTTTTTTTTTTCTGAAGAGCAGAAGGACAAATTGTTAATAATTCCAAGATGAAACTAATTTTTTTTTGCTTGTCTATGAGAGAAACCCTCTTCTCTTACAACTGGTCATTCTAACTATATTTATAAAAATTACAGATTCAGTTAACTGCTTAAAAAAACCTGCTTGGGAGCTTGACTTTTGCACAAGATGGAAACTTTAGTCCTTTAAAAATTGCTTCTAATCCAATCTTTTAAGGTATGTTTTGCTGTACTTCCTTCTACTGAAGTGAATGGTAAAACTGTGCTTGTATTTGAAGCAGAACAGATCTGTTTTACACTCTTTTGAAGGAACAATTTTCTCATTTCTGAAGCCTCTCGATAAACATTTGTATGTGAAGGAATAGCCATGGAGATAGATGTAGAATTCGGTAAGCATAGTATGGTATTTCAGTAATTTATCTCATCTCTGTCAAGTTTGAGATGCAAAGCTTTGACAAAAGATGCTGCTAAGTGTATGACTTTTGAAAGAAAACCGTGTTTTCCAATAACTGGAGTATAGTGTTCTTACAGAAATAGGCAAAAAATAGATAGTTCATTAAAAAAATGAAGGTTTGTTGTTACAGTGTGACTACCAGGACTCATTACAGTGCAATTTTCCTGCCTCTGTTTTGATCATTCTTTTTAAATGATGAACAGAATCACAGATCTGCTGAGATTTAGTTTGACTTTTCAATATGACTTGATCAAAAAAAATCTAGTGGCCATGGACCTTAAAGCTATTTTTGTTAGTGGAAATACTGCCTTTTAGTATCAAACATCCCCTACATTGTTTAACTCTAATGACAGTAAAGTCCAACAGCTGGTCTAATTTTTTTAGGCCCTGCTTAGACTCTAATTTTCTCTCTCTGCTTAGGGAAAAAAAAAAAAAAGGTTATTTTCTTTTTATACTTACAGCCAGAAAAAAAACAGCCTTTGTCAATAAAAGTTACTAATTTCAGTTGTTCTATTTTTAATATGATAAAAACTTCTGAAAAATAACTCTCACACATAAAAACTGGGATAAGAAAAAGTCTTTAGGAGTATATTATATGACACTTTGAAAAGAGGTGTGGGTGACCTATTACCAGTAGTGGCCAACACCCAGAACAGTAAGCTTCAAACAGCTGCCAGTGATTAGAGCTTCCTCTTCCTCTTCTAGTAGGACCACCTCCACAGGTGGGCAGTTAGCATTATTCCAGGTATATCTTTTCCTGCTTAAAGAAAAATGACCAAGAAAATCTGTGTGAGAAAGACTGATGTTAGATTCTCACAGAAGTCTGAGCCATTAAGTCTTCAACACCATTACTTGATGTATTTTTGTCCCTCCTCTGGTCTGAGGTTATAACTACATGTCCATACTAGAGGGAGGGAAAATTTAAAGCAATGGAAAAGTCTCTTCTGTTCCCAGAGGTTTCTTCAGAGGAGTATCTCCTGAATCTATAAAACCAGAATTTAGACACGCATACACTTTTTCCTCCTCAGGACAGAGAAGAATGGAGAATGCAGAATGCAAGACTGCAGTGTCAACCTGAAGTAGTATTCAACAAGATGGCAAAATATGCTTGAACTATTGCTATGAACTGCTGACAGTGACTGGGTGTAGATAGGTTGTTAGCTATTTTCTATTTTCCATTTTGATTTTTTATTTCTTACAATAGCGGGCAATACCTCCTATGGCTTATTTAAAAAGAAACCTTCATACTGATCAGACTGGGCTGCAGTGAGAAGAGAGAATTTTCTTCAGTTAGGATATTGGTGAAAGCTTCTTCAAATCTGCAGTGTAAACAAATTTAGGCAGATATAATAAAATGAGACAGGAGTAATCATGTTGTGTGCATTGCAGGCTGGTTTAGGAATAACAGTAATTTCCCTCTTTAGTGGAGAGCTGAATCTAAGGAGGGAGGCCATTTTACCGAGAAAAAAAGGACCTGTGTTAGCTATGCAGAGCTTTAAACTCTACACTTCTTCACTGGGCTTTAAATATCCCGGATAGTGCAACATCTGCGTAACATTGAAAGCTTAGGAGTGAAATGACACAATTATTTCTCTGTTTGTTTGAAAAATTTGAAGAAATTAAATGTGCATGTGACTGAAAAATCTGGAGTGTATAGGTTAAGTCTTGTAAATTTGGTGAGCTTGAACTGATTATCTTCAGCAAAGCAAACTTTCAGTGTTGCTGTTCCTATGGTGAAAACTACTGAATGATATTCAACAAGCTATAATGCTACAATCTAATGAATCTGAATACATCTCTCGGCCTGACTGAAAAGAAGGTAGCCTCTGGTCTTTGTGGAGTGAATACTCAGTCTGTGCTACAAATATGAATATGTTCTGTACTTGTCAACACTCATCTCAAGCAATACCAGTAGAACTTTTCCTGTAGACGTATAATTATTGTAATATTACTGAGATCCCTCTTGACTCCATGTTTTAGGACAATTTGCGTTGATAGCCACTAGCAGAAGGAACATTAATCCTATTTAAGATTCTACAGTTTCACAGGAAATTAATCTATATTCCGTGACAGAAATAGGTATTGAGTAACAGACTGTTCACTTTCAAACAATTGGCTATTGTACAAAGAGGGGATGTGCGCTGTTCTTTAGACCATCAAAACACCCATGTCAGTCCTTTCTACACCTCAGCACTGGATACCTGGACCTGAGAAAGCCGTTTCCAAAGTAAAATCTGACTGCTGAAGAGAAGAGTAAGCAAAGCCTTAACAAGGATTCCTAAACAAATTAAGACTGTGGCAGAGTGTAGCTTCTGATGATCTGAATTTGTAGAGGTTGCGTTCAAGCTCACACTTTGATGCCCTCTGCAGAGGAAAAGCTATTTCTTTCTCTGTGTATGTTTTCCTTTACCTTCCTTTGAATTTCCTTTTCCTTTGAAATTTATTTTTATTACTTTATTCTTAAGAACAACAAATGTTTCCAGTCCCAACAGGATAAATTGAATGAAGCAACAGCATTGAATTTTTGTCGAACTGTTGAGTTATCATCCATTTTTTCTTTATTTCTCCCCATTTATTGAACACCTACTGTTCCTTCTCTTAATGTTTCTTTTTCTGTTCCTTGTTACTTATGCCACTGCTTCCTTCATTCTTTGTGCTTGTGGATAGAAATGGAAACAAATAAAGGCCGCTTTTGAGATGAAAAGTCTAAACCTTCTTTCTTGCACTTTTGTTTACCTGTTTCTTGCCAGCATGAAAACTAAGTGGTCGCAGCATGGTTGCCATTGTAGGGGGATGGCCATTCTGCTTTTGCAGGACACGACTTCATACACTAAGCTCTCAAGAATTCAGATAAACTGATATCCTTTTTCTTCAAGTCTTTTAGGGTTTGAATTAATTTCCTGAGTTAATGATGGCAACCAAAAATGTCTTTATGAGAGGCAATAAGGATAGTGCATATGCATAGTGAATATTCACAATCAAATATTCATTAAAAAAAAAGGAAATGCAGAATCTCAATCTCTCTAAAAATGGCATTTAGTGAAAGAGCAAAATATAATTTTAAGCAAAAAAATATTTTTAGTGACTGACAAGATTGTAATTTATTCTGTTTTCAGGGTGGAGCTGAACATAATATTCCAGTGGTCATTTCTAAGATTTCCAAAGAACAAAGAGGTGAGTATCAGCTTAGTACACTGTGTTTTGATGTGCCTGTTAAAGCAATGTGTATTAAGTTTTGAGATTCTTCAGTGAGCGTTAAATGTATGCTATTGTTGTACCCTTTCTCTTTCATGTCTTTATGATCTCTCTCTTCCTCAGAACCTTTCTCTGAAAAAGTATAGAATTAATATTTGGAATATTCGGTAAAGTATTCCACTTTATTTTTTTTAAACAGGTTCTTATAAAGCATTATTTTTAAGGAGAGAAACAGGAAGGTATTTATAGAATTAAGATGTTTAAAAAATTTAACAAAAAGTAATGATTTTGTGGAATTCACTTCCAGTAGTTATTTTCAGGAAGCTGAAGAAGATCGAATGTTTGTCTATTAAATCACGGTAACATGGGAGGAGAATGCATGACTTTTTAAACTGGTTAGTAGGATAATATTGGGACAGGGGTGGCTAATGGCAGAACCTTGATAATACCCTTTTGTTATTTCAGCAATAGCAATAATGCTGAATTGTGTAAGCCTTTGCAACCACTCATATGTAGCAAAACTGGTACTGCATAAAGTCTTAACCATAATTACTTTTAATACAAACAGAGCTGGTGCTGAATCTCTGTAGTATTTTTAACTGGCAATGTTTTGAAATTATTGGGATGATATATGGACCAGGAACGTGGGTAATAGTTAAACAGCTCGAGATGTGCACAGTTATGAGAGAGGAAGGTTGTGAATCAGTACTAATATGGTGTACTTAATATCTCTGTCGTGTTTGTGTGTATTTGTGTATATTTGTGTAAGGTCAGAAATGTAAACTCAGAAGCGTTTCCCTCCATCTGTAATGCAATAATTCTAGGATGTTCCTTCCCCACAATTAAAATGTGCCAGCATTAGGAAAATCTCATATTTATCCACACAGATAAAGAGAGGCATGGAAGAATCAGTGTATTGAAAACTGAAAGCCAACTCTGAAAGGCAGGTGTGAAAGTTGCATGTAGGAAGGCTATGGGATAGCATGGAATGAGCCTCTAAGGAAGGCAATAAGGTTTACTTTAAGTTATACTTGTGACTACATTCTTTTCAGTATGCATATAAGTAGATAATATATAAAAATGTGGCATATATTGCCTATGGTGATTATTAAAATACTGTTAAGCACTTCAGAAAATATAAGCAAGATAGACTTAAGTTTAATTGAGCACACAGAAATGCACAGGTTTATTTTTGTGTTTTTTCTACAGTAGCTGATGCATTACTTCTAGCCTCAATACGTAGCTGAGATATAATCTTCATTACTCCTTTCTACAAAAATACTGCTGATTTTCAGAGAGCTAGTTTTGAGGGACATCTCTTGTGTAGGAGACTGTCTTGTGATGTGGAAAGTGTACTAGGGAATTTTGATACAGAAAATGCTGTTTGACCCAAAGCCTATACCTCAAAATTTTGCAGACTTGGTTCTTCCCTCCTCCCAGTTGCTTTCAGGTCTTTCTTTGGACCTCTAAACAAGAATCTGACATTTGATGCAATTCTTAAAACTAGTGATGTACATAAGGTGCTTAGGCTAGCACATTAGGTCTCATATATGAAATGTTAGCAAATACAAACCCAGTGTCTGAAGAAGAATATTGAGATATGTATTTATTGGGAAAAAAAAAAAAGAATAAATCAGAATGTCTATTCTACAATAATTTGGGCATCCTTCAAACACAGACTTGAGTATCATAATTCATGTCAGTATTGGTTCCAGTTTTACAACTCAGAATCACAGAATATACCAAGTTGGAAGGGACCCAAAAGGATCATAGAATCATAGAATCATAGAATCATAGAATAGATTGGGTTGGAAAAGACCTCCAAGATCATCAAGTCCAACCCCTGATCCAACTCCAGTTACTATATCATGGCACTAAGGGCCACGTCCAATCTCTTTTTAAAAACCTCTAGGGATGGTGAATCCACCACCTCTCTGGGTAGGCCGTTCCAATGCCTGATAACCCTCTCTGTAAAGAATTTCTTCCTAACATCTAACCTAAACCTCCCCTGGCAGAGCTTGAGCCCATGTCCCCTTGTCCTATTGTTGGTTGCCTGGGAGAAGAGACCAACCCCCACCTGGCTATAACCTCCTTTCAGGTAGTTGAAGAGAGTGATGAGGTCGCCTCTAAGCCTTCTCTTCTCCAGACTGAACAACCCCAGCTCCCTCAGCCTCTCCTCATAGGACTTGTGCTCCAGTCCCTTCACCAGCCTCGTTGCTCTTCTCTGGACCCGCTCCAGCACCTCAATATCCTTCCTGAACTGAGGGGCCCAGAGCTGAACACAATACTCAAGGTGTGGCCTCACCAATGCAGATCGTTAACTCCAACTCTTAGCTCTGCACAGAACCATCCCCCACAGTCCCACCATGTGCCTGAGAATCTTGTCCAAATGCTTCTTGAACTCTGTCGGCCTTGGTGCTGTGACCACTTCCCTGGGGAGCCTGTTCCAGTGCCCAGCCACCTTCTGGGTGAAGAACCTCTTTCTGATATCCAGCCTAAACTCCCCTGACACAACTTCAGACCATTCCCTCAGGTTTTGTCACTGGTCATCAGAGAATGAAGAGATCAGTGTCTGCCCCTGCTCTAACTCTCAAGAGGAAGTTGTAGACTGCCATGAGGTCTTCCCTCAGCCTGATCTTCTCCAGGCCGAACAGATCAAGTGACCTCAGCTGCTCCTCATACGGCTTCCCTTCAAGGCCCTTCACGATCTTCATTGCCCCCCTTTGGACACTCTCTAACAGCCTTATATTCCTTTTATATTGTGGTGCCCAAAACTGCACATAATATTCAATGTGAGGCCTCTTCTGATTTGTTGAGATCTCTCTGCAGGATCTCCCTGCCTTCAAGAGAATCAACAGCTCCTCCCAGTTTTGTGTCATCTGCAGACTTGCTGAGTATCCCTTCCACTCCTTCATCCAAGTCATTTATGAAGATGTTGAAGAACACAAGGCCTAATATGGAGCCCTGTGGAACCCCACTAGTGACAGGTCATCAGTCTGATGTTACCCCATTCACTCTTACCCTCTGTGCCTGTCCCATGAGCCAATTCCTCACCTACTCCATGATGGGTTTATTTGGATATTTTGTGTTTAGCTGGACATTTTGTCCAGAAGGTTTCTGTGAGAGACAGTATCAAAAACTTTACTGAAATCCAAAAGTATTACATCAACTGACTTTCCTTGATCAGCTGGGTGGGTTACCTTGTCATAAAAGGAAGTCAGGTTTGATTAAGCAGGACTTCCCTCTCATGAAACTGTACTGGCTGTGACCAATGACTGTGTTGTCTTTCAAGTGTTTTTCTACATCTCCCAGAATAATCTTTTCCATAATTTTACCAGGCACTGAAGAGAGACTGACAGGCCTATAATTTCCAGGGTTATCCTTCTTCGTCTTCTTGAAGATCAGGACAACATTCACCAGCTTCCGGAATCCCAAGATTGCTCAAAAATCATTGAGAGAGGTTGTGCGATGACATTAGCAGCTCCTTGAGGATTCTTGGATGAATTCCATCAGGCCCCATAGATTTGTAGGGATCCAGCTGAAGCAGCGGATTCCTGCACAATTTCAGGGTCGACTGGGAGTAGATCATTCTCGCAGTCATGGTCCTTCAGCTCAGGACACTGGGCTGGGACCCCCTTGGTCTGTCGTCTGTCATCTGAAGACAGAGGAAAAGAAAGTGTTAAACACCTCTGCCTTGCCTCTCTCCCTGTTTTTGAGGTGACTGATCTCATCCTGTAATGGGCCAATGATATTTCTGTCCTGCCTACTGCCATTAATATATTTGAAAAAACTTTATAGTCCCTCACATTTCTGGCAGCTTCAACTCCAGCTGAGCTTTGGCCACACAAATTTTCTCCCTACGGCAGCAAGCAGCATCCCTGAATTCTTCCCATGTCACTTGACCTTGCTTCCACTGGGCATACAACCTTCCCTTTTTGGCCTTTTTCCAAGCAAAAATCCCTGTTCAGCAAAGCTGGCCTTCTGCCTTGCCTGTTTGACTTCTGACATTTCAGAGTTGCCTGTTCACCATCCTTAGGATGTGATGTTTAAAATGTGACCAGCACTGGTGGACCCCAGCAGCTGCAAAACCTTTCCTCAGGGGACCTTACTTACTAATTCTCTGAACAGCCAGAAGTCTGCTCTCCTCATGCCCAGAACTGAGGTTTTGCTGGCACTTTTCCTCCTGTCACTGTGACCAAATGGCCACCAATCTCCACTTTGCTCATGAGACCCACTCTGTTGACAAGCAGCAGATCAAGGACGGCATCTTTCCAAGTCAACTCCTTTAGGATCTGTTCCATAAAGTTGTCATCCAGGTTTTTTAGGAATCTTCTGGCCCAGGTTGAACCAACTGTGTGATGCTCCGAGTTAATTTCTAGCAAATTGAAGTCCCCCATAAGAGCAAGGGCAGTTGACTTTGAAGTGTCCCTTAGTTCCTCAAAGATCAGTCGTTGGTGTCATTGTCCTGGCTGGGAGGTCTATAGCAGACTCCCACAGTGACATCCTCATTATTTGTTTGCCCCTTGGTTCTTACCCAGAGGCTCTCAACTGTGCCATTGCCAACTGTGAACTCTGTACATTCTAACCGTTCTATTACATACAGCGCCACCCCTCCACCTCTTCTGCCCTCATGGAAATAAGTAAAGTTTTTGGATCAAGCCCAATTCTAGTTTTTCCCAGACATTATCTTCTGGAACGATATGCAATACTATAGGTAAATAATCGCATGTAATCTGTTAACGTTCCTTAGTTCCCATGTTAGGGATTATTAATTTCTTTATAGACACCTAAATAATCTTTGTTATGCTTCTGGTATGCTTACAAAGTATAGTTGTATCAGGTAGCTCTGAAACACAACACAATATTTAAAAGTTGCAACTGTAGATTTTGTAAATGTCTTTTTGATACAGTTTTGTTTTAAAAATCAAATTCAATTTGGCTGTTCATTTTGCGCAATATACTGATTTTCTAGCTCTTCTGCATATAAAATGTTATTCAAAATGAATACTCCGTGTTATTTATAGAGTTTATCAAAGATGCAGGATCTAAAGGATCTTTTATCTTTGCTAAAAGCCTAGAATTTAAATTAGTCATTCATAGGTAGCTCTGGAGTCTCCATGTTGCTTTTTTTCAGTTTGTTAGAAATTATTTCTCACAGGTAAATAAGACCTAGTCCTGTAGTCATTTTCTATTCAGAATAGTATACTATACCTCACTACAATGGCCTGAGGGTACTAGTGACTGATGGACTATGTTTCATAGCCTTGTGCTTAGGCTGGATAGTCTCTTTTATTATAATACTGAAATGCCAGTATTTTGAGTTTAAAAAAGAAAATGCAAATAATTTATTTTTTTGTTTGGTTCTATATTAGATTTTTGTTTTAACTTTTAAAATATTATGTAAAAACATTAAATTAAATTAGAATTGATGTACACAAAATATAGGATGTTTTGTACAAAATGAGTGAAAAATATGCCTTCTGTTTTCAGCTGAACTTTCAGGTTTACTCTTTATAGGAGATGCAATTCTACAGGTGAGTAAAATTGCAAATTATTTTGTTTGTACTTTTCTAGAAATGTGATATGAATTCTATACTTATGAAATATAGAGTAAGTCTTCTCTTTATCTTTTTAATAACAGATTAATGGAATTAATGTGAGAAAATGCAGGCATGAAGAAGTGGTGAGCGTTTCTGTTTTTTAGTTTACTTTTTGTCATTCATACTTACTGAGATGATAGTGTTAATGTGACTCGTAAACAAATATGGCTGTACCTTCTAACATGACAAACAACAAAGTTTGTAGTGCAATCTCTTCTTCCTAATTTTGTGTAATTGCTCTTCTCAGATAGGCTTTTCTAAATTAAAGGTCATTGCTTTGTTATGAAGATTTGACTTGTATATATTCCAGCATTTCTTCTTCTGGCTTATAGCTGTTAAATTTCAGCAGTGCTACACCTTTCTGGCTGTGTGAGGTCATTTTAATTTCAAAAGCTGTAATTTGTACTGCGTTGGAGATTTGTTGTTTGGTTGGTTTTAATCCTATTTTAAAAATTAAACAAAATTATTCATCTGCCTTTAGTTCTCTGGCTTTTAGTTATGAGGTATGCTGTCCTCATTCAGTTAAGCTGTTATTAATAAGGGTTTAAAATAATAGTGTATTAAGAAGATTTCTTCTAGAGAAGCCATGTGTATTTGGAAGGTCTGTAGTAGGCTGGTTCCATTGGTAAGTCACCTTTGCTAAACGTATCATGTACTTCTGTTATACTTGACTTTTTTACTCTTCTTAAGTACTTTCAGAATGAGGAAACCCTATATTTCAGAAAATAATGCCAGAAAGTAGAAGATTACCAAAGAAATTACCTTGAAATCCTGTGTAGCTCCACAGAATTTGTATCTTAATTTTTAAGATAATGTGGTAATGTTATATTTGAAAGGTTATCTTTCTAAAGCTTACTTTGCCAATTCAAGGATGCTCTGTGTTTCATACAACATTCTGCTTCATGCCAGTTCATTGAACAGATGTCATTTGCGTTTGGAAAGCAAGAGTTAATAAAGATGAAGTTCTCATAAACAAGTTAGTGCAGGCTGAAAGATTAGATCACTGCACTGTTCTTCAGAATGCTTTTGCACACTTATTTCCTTTTGGAAATCTATACTACAAATCATGCTTCCTTCTTCGGAGCCTTCATCACACCCCCTTCTGTATGTACTGACTAATAGTCATATTTATATTCATATTAAGTTTTTCCTGTCCAATAGTGATCAGATTTTAAATATTTTATAAGTTTACTGGAGCTTGTTTGTTTAATATGCATTAATATGGCAAATCTTTCAATGGGATTTAAATAGGCTGTTGAAATTACAAGACACGAGAAAAAGATACTACTGAAAGTGTAGCCTTGAACACTCAAGTGTGTATTGAAAACTGGTAAGAACACCATGATTTTATTTTTTGTTTGCTGAGACAATCTCTTAACCATTAAAATTCTCAGTGATCCTTGTGGGCCCCTTCCAACTCATCATATTCTGTGATTAGTTAGTGCTTGTGGACATTCTGTTGTCTTTATTGTATTCGATTTTGATACGAATGATAGATAGACAGACTGATAGACTACTCTCATAAGACTAGATAGGTAGGTTTAGTCAGTTCTTAGTGTATTTTACTGGAAGCCTTTACACGGTTCCTTTTTTTTTTTAGTTTTAGGTGGATCACTTAATCTTGAACCTAGTTTTCTGCTTGTAGAAGGTGAAAATATTTTTCATATCGTGAAAGCACATGATTAATTTCTATCAAAGACTGACTGTCAGCTTGTTCTTTGTCTTGGGTTGTAAAGACTCCCATCTGAGTGCAGCATCACGTTGCTTAAGTCTTAGTGCTCTCCTATGGTAAGGTAAATACATGTTCTCTGTGGTGAAGTATCAGCATGGGAGGAGGTTACAGGGAAAAAATAAACTCGAAATTCTCTTAAAAAATATCTCTCAGCATCACACTGGCAGTTTTAGTCCAAAAAATGCAGTATGAACTTGAATGTGGAGGTTAGGAAAGTCCATTATATCTGTTAAAATACATGACTTTATGCTCTTTCTGCTCTGGATTTATTAATTATTCTTTTTTCCAGTAAACTCGCCTTTACATTTTACAACAAGACTCTTTAAAGGCTGAAATTAGGTTTATTCAAAAACACATCTTAGAGTTTAGGCTTCTAAGTAATAAGGTCCAACAATGCATAGCATGTTAATCCATACAACTAGTCTTTTAAGGGCTCATAATGGATATAATTATTCTTAAAGCTGGAAATTCATTTATTTGTAGTCTGGAAACTAATGCATCTCTAGATTTTCCCTCCATATACTGTCCAGACAAAGATAGGTAGGCAAGCACCAACATAATGCTGTCATGTGGACATTTTTGGTCATTCTGGATCTAGCCACTACACCATTAACAATAGACAAGATTTTGGGAAAGAAAGAGAGGCTATGTTGTGAACTACTTCCCCTGTGCTAATACTGAGTGGTTCAGAGTAGGAGAGTATGAGTCAACTCATTTACATAGTACCAAAAACCTTGTGTTGGATCTATTGCTCTTACTGCTTCCAGGGTTATAGTGCACCAAATCATCTAAAGTCCATGGAGAAGAAAGAATTTCAGTCAAATGAAGGCTGATATGTTTGAGATTATGTCTCTGTTCTTAATGAATCTACTACATCTCAGGTAGTACCAACATCTATCATTACATATCTCTTTCGATCTTAGCATCTGTTTTTTTCTCTTAGGAAATGAAAGGAACTAAATGGCTAGGGATATGAAGTAATTTCTTATTTCTTGTATTTGGGAAAATTCAGGGAATGTTCCTAATGAAAAATGATAGCCTGCATCTGTCAGTTACTGTGGCAGTCAGGCATTCCTTTAATGGTAACAGGAAAAGCTCATGTAGTGGCAGGTAGGTATATTCAGGCTTTGGTGTATTTTATGTCAAGCTACCTACAATATGTAGCACCATGTTTCAATTCAGCCATTGATTGCATTTTGCACAAGACATCTTTTTTTCCAGCAGAATGACCTTACATGAGATGTCATGTGCACTGCATTGTATCTTTTGCTTCCCCTTTTTCTCTATATTCACAGTGGGAATGTAACTGTGCTGGCCCTCCATGAGTCATATATACTATATGAATCTGACAGTATAGGGACTGTAGTTGCTTAACAGAAATTGTCTGCAGCTAATGAAACTCCTACTCTGACTTTTCTGTTTTAAAACTGTAGTTTCATTCAAACTGATTTTTAAAACACATTATGAGTAGTTTTGGCAATGTTTTTCTAAGTGTTTTTAAGCAGAACAAGCATATTGTATTTTTAAGACAGGACTGGAAACCAAATGGTCTGAAATCTCACTCCATATTCACATCACAGAAGTGTCTTTTGGTAAATTATGTTTCTGTTATCTTTGTTTCCTTAACTGTGAAGCAGAGGCCTAGACTGTTACCAGGTTTAGCTCTCTGAATTATATGAAGCTCTGAATCTGTTATAGAAAAGGATCTCTGCATTAGTATTTTGCAGTTTGATGACAGTGGTAACAGCAACCTGCGAACACAGATTACCACCTTCTCATGCTGCAGAGCTCCTGTACTGTATAACTCACAGCACAGCCATTTAATCCTTTCCCCTCTAGACTGAATGGCGACTTTAAATATTGAAGGTGCGTAGTCTGTGCTTCTGAGAGAAGACCATAATCAATCTGAAGTTTTTAACTTCTGAATTTAAAAGTGAAATGTAATCCAATATTTTTACTCTTTCCATACAGCTGCTGTTTTCTATTTGAGACTTGAGTGATTAAAAAAAAAAAAAAAAAATTATGTCACCTTAGTGACATTACACCCTGGTGCCCTGGTGTAATTAATGAAAATATCTGTTACTGAACATCTTTACTGTTCATGAAATTTGAGCTAATAATAATCTGTTTAATATTTCAACATCAATTTGAAATAAGTGCCAATCAAGGGGAAAAGAACCTGCAAATAGTCTACTGTTTTTTCCTGTGTAGTGGAAATTCCTTGAATTTGGACATATCCTAGAACAGTACTCTTAACATGTATTAGGCTGCTTTTCTAATCTGGTTTTAGCTATAGTTTTTTAGTGTTTAAATAATTTTTTTTTGTGCCAAACTCTGTAAAAACTTGAATTTATTCAACCACTACAATGTTAGACTTTTAAAATACATTAATGTATTGCTAGTCTTCCTAATTAATATTTTCATTCCTTTTTTCTCATGATACCTGTAGATATATTAGTCATCTTATTAAGATTTCATCTTTTAAAACTACTCATCTATACTGCTGAGTTTTTATAGAAGGGAGTAGATTATGCTGTCATGACTAATACCAAGTTTACATGATTAATATTGTTACTTCCTTATTACATAGCTACAGTCCTCAAAGCAAAAATCCATTAGGACTTAGTGGGATAGAGTGAAAGATTGAATCACCAGCTGTGGTGCAACATCCCTCAAATAACTGCCCTTGGTTCCTCCTTTGTCATGCAGCTTTATTAATGCTGGAAGCCTGAGCTGCAAAGAAAAGAAACAGTTGAGCAGTGGATTTAAAGTGTGTACTATCAGATATGCTTTGTTTGTGACCTTGTTTACATTGGTATTTTGTTGTAAAACCTTGGGTTTCTCTGCTTCCTAATGAAGTAAATAGAAATGTTTTCGTGTTTATTTGTACGTGTTTGTGCTTTACGCTCCAGAAGGCTTTTTGAAATATTTCATTCTGCACAGCATCTCCCAGTTGCGGAGCTATATCTCAATTTGTCTTTGGTAAAGGGACTCAACCTTTTCCTTGCTATGCATAGATGTAACGATGTGCAATAATTAAAAAGAAAAGAAATCGAGTCTGGGTCTCTGGCAGAGCACCAGAGTCCCAATTATTTTTAATCTGTTTCTGTGTGCCTTATATTTGAAAAAGCATAGTCCACTTTGGCTAGATGCTTGAGTTTTTATTTTTACTTGGACTAACTGCTCTATAATAATCTATTCAATCTAGACAAGAATGTCACAGAGAACACCAAAAGCCTCTAAAGGGCAGAGGAAATAAACATACACAAAACACCCCAACATCATGTAGGAAAAATCAAAACTCTTATGGGTATGAAAATTATCTTCTCTGGTTACTATTAAAAATTTTTCATTTACCCATAAGTACTAGAAAATACTGTCCAACTCCCAGCAGTTATATTTTCTTTAAACAGGTAACAACAATGTAGTTTAGACTGAAAGGAAGTGTTCACCTCTAAAAGGCAACTTGTGTATCTCTTGTGGATTGATGTGGACCTAATAGAGCACACCAGATAAAATAGAGCAGGTATACTCATTTAGCTAGCCAGAAGGAGCCATAAATAAGAGGTGTGCTCAGAGAAGTGTAAATGTGCACACACATCATCTTCTGACAATTTTCCAGCAGTTACAATACTTGATTTGTATTTGCAATTACAAATGTAATTGCTCTGGCTATAATAAAATCAAATGGGTGCCAGGAAAAAACTTTTAATCCAAGGATAATCTAACACCTGTACATATTTTTAGGTCTTCTTTTTTTCTCTACAATGGGTCTTTATCTTTTGACAGTTTGTTCGGTGGAGATGGAAGAGGAAAGGAGAATGGACTCTATATAATTTTTCAATAGTATCCAGTGTTGGCCTGTTCCAGCCAGATACATGGAGGTTTCCAGATGGCCCATCCCATACTTCTCAACCACTAGTATGGTACAGTATGGTACTGGTGTTTTGATATCTGTTTGTCAGCACTGGGCCTATTTGTAGATGTATAATTTTTTCTTTTGCCCTGATAGTACCAGTATCTTTATACAAGTTCAGTTTGCTACTACTTGTTTCCTGTTAGCTGTTTTTTTCAAGGTCGTGGCCAGTAAGAAAGCTTGCAGTGGTAAAAGGTTCACAGGTCACAAGAAGAACATTCGTACAGGTGTGACTACAGAGGGAAGAAATGTTTCATTAAAAATTACAGTAGTTACCTGTTCCCTAGATTTTTGTGCAGAGACCTACAGCAGTTATTGATTCCCTGTGCTGTTAGCACTTTTCTGATGAAAATGGGAACTAGTCACTGCTCAGGCTGAATTGGCATTACCAGGATAATGACATATATCTTTAGATGAGGTCTAGTGAATGTACATAGCTCTATTCCGTTTCACATGTCCTTATCAAGCCAGTAGTGATTGGGAACATTTAAAAGGTTCTAATTATGCTGACTATTAAAAGGAAAGTTCAAGGCAATATTCTACATCAAAATCTCCCATATTTTAAGGTTAGCTTGCAGTAGAAATTGCTGAGGATGTTTCTAGATTTTCTATAATACTGAAACACCTTCCCTTCTTGTACTATTTTGAGTATGATGTATTTGCATATTAAATGGACAGACAGGCATGCTTCACAAAACCTTAACCATTTCTCAGTCATCTTAAGGGTATTTTGACATCTTTTGTTTAGTCATATTTACATGGAAAATCAAATACAAAACATATTCAAAATCTCCTGTGCACTTCAGGTCATAATGTATTATTTCTGAATCCCTGATTGCAGAGAGAAATATTGGTGAGAGCTAGTGTTTACCATAATGAATGCTAACAGATAAATATTTTGTTTAAGTATCTATCACCCTGAAAGTTTACAAGGTTTTACAGACTGTATACAGCCTCTTTATATCAATCACCGTGCGGTTTTAGAGTAAAATGAATCACCTGCACAACAATGGCAACAACAAGTCTGTGAAACAAAATATTATTTTTTTCCAATTAAAACACTTTGAGTGTTGGAATTTGGCAATACCAAGACTTTTTAATTTTTGCTTTTCTTTATAGGAACCTATACAGGAATATTCTCAACAGGAAAGTGTTAACTAAATGGGAGCATGCTTTGCTGAATCATCTCTCTGTATAATGTTCCTTAGATATTGAGTTACGTAGGATCAACAGTGTTTTTCTTATTTTTCTGAATTTTTATAGCAAATGAGAGCCCTGAGAAAATTATAAAACTATAACTTTTAAGATTTAAGGGCCCTGGACTTTCTAAAAGTGAGGCCTTTAGTAGTTTGTCCTTTAATTTATGGTATTCTGACATAATCACTTAGCAGCAATGTAACAGAATTTTACAAAGCATTCTGTTTTTACTTTGATGTTGCAGGTTTTTGTTTCAGAATACACATTCTTCTTATATAATAGTCTATCAATTATAATTGTTGTAAGATTTTATAGTCTCAAATGGTAATTAACTTCTGGCAAGAATGCACTTCTGTGGTGTTATTGCTTAATTAGGAAAATAAGAGTAGATATAAAAAGGGTTGCAATGGGATAAGCAGCCTAATCAGTTTTGATCAATATATCAGATCTATGCTTAATTTTGAAAGTCATGAAGAACTCATGCCATAAACTGATTAAACCTGTAATTCAGCAGATTTTTATGCGCTGAAATATAAATTAGCTTTTTTACTTCCTTGGAATTAGATGCTAATCTCTTTTGTTTCCAGAGTATCTATAAATGTCCTCTTGTTAATTAAAATCCAGTGTGAGCACCTCCAAACTCACTTTTGCCAAGACTTTTGAAATTTAGATGCAGATGAAAGTTATCCTAAAAATGCTGAGGCAATATTATTTGTGAAATTTTCAGATTACAAGGTAGTTATGCTGGGTCCCTGTTCACCAAAATATGTATGTATTTGACTTTAATTATGAATTTACATATTTTACTAAATTGGGATCTTTATTTTTTACAAATATTTTTGAAGAACAAAGTAATTTTCTCTAATTTTCTCAACTTCAGCTAGATACAGTACAGTTATTCTGCAGCAGAAAGGCTTCCATTGCACTAAATGGCATGAAAGTATGTTCTTATGCATTTTCTCGACTGAGAACTTTTACCACTGAGCACAATTCCTGAAATACTAAATTTTCTCTCTCAGACATTAGATCCTGAGCTACCAAGAAGCTTAGCAGAATTAACCACATATATTGATCTAAAACATCACTTCAAATACAAATTTGCCCAAGAATTATTTTTATGTCATATTGACGTTGATAACATTTATAACCGAACAAATAGGAATAGGCTTGTACAGTAATATTTATTCAAATTTAGAATTAAAATTTGATTTCAAACACTTTAAGAACTTTTTTTTATTCATTTTTCATGGGCATTTATAGGCTTGTGCTTGATTAGTGTGACTATTCATGGAAACTAACTGCTAAGGTCATATTTGCCAACAGCAAATTTTATATTGAATATGTAAATGTGAAATTTGCCACTAGCTGTGTGTATGACCCTAGCCTTGCAATGGGATTAGTGTGAACAAACCTTTGTTCTGGGAATGATCTTTTTTTTTCCCCCAGGACTGAAGCTCTGTGAAGTCAAAAATAATATTGAAGCCACGTTTTCAAAAATCTTAGACATATCTTTGTTCATAAAACATTTTAAAATTTAAGACTGTATTTCAAAATGCCATGTCAATGGGATGACTTTCACCTTCAAGCATTAGGAATGGGATCAATAACTGCCATATTATGTAGTTAAGTAATGTGTGTGCATTTTGAATATTACTAATGATCCTTTCACAAATTACATACATAAAAAAGTACTTCTTTAGTGTTTAGTCTTAGAAATTTCACACAGAATTCAGCCATGAGAGGACTTTTTTTCTGGCAAATTGTAATTGTGGGAACAGTTCAACTGAAGGAGCAGGAGATTCTTATATATTTAATAAATAAAAAGCAGTTTCATTGTTTTGTAATAATCATGGCTAGAAAAGTTGGACCATTCAAGTTCACTACTGTAATGATAAAAAAAAAAGTCACTATGATCAACTATGAAAAGAAAGAACTCCAAATCCTTATGAACAATTTGAGGAATAATTTGATTTAATAATTTGATTAAAATTATTTCCTCCTATTGAGGAGCACACATTACCTGCAAAATTTGGAGACATTAATGCCAAGTTATTGTCCAGTTTCTGTTACAGCTTACTAGAAAAAAACATTTCCACTTTCTACTTTGCTTTGATTTTTACCCTTACTTAAAACCCACTCGTCCAAAAAATATTATTGAAAAGCTTCTGTCTAAGGCTTTTTGCTTTAGCATAAAGTCTTCTAACAAAAGAAAAATGCATATCCATTAATAAAAAGGTTTCTAGTGACCTTTATTCCTAGTGATTTTTATTCCGATTGTACTTGGGTACTCTAGGAATCATGTAGATAAATATGGAACATTTTGCTTTATTTTGTAAATATAGCTGATTATTTTTCTTTATGTAACATGGATAATATCTTCAGCCTTTTTCTATACTGAGTATTTTATATGACCTTTGTACAGGGGATGGAGAGTCCTAAGTGACTAGGTTGTCTTCCAAGGTTTTCCTACTTAATTGCTGATATATGGCTATTGGTTTTGAGAGACATTATACAGTATTATTTTTCAATTCAGCTCATGATTATCTACTGGAATCTGTTGTGCTCTCTTACACTATTGGATGGGTCATGCACTATACACTATAATTTCTTTCTAGAATAGTGACTGCCTTATCATGCACTGTATTCCATAACACCTGCAGGCTACAAACAGAATCTTAATACTCTGAGTAAGAGGTATTGATATTATTACCTGTTGTGTTGGTATTTCCATTTAGTTTGTTAATAATTTCATGACTGAAGCTCTGACCAGTATACTGCACAGATTGGTTGTGGTAGCTCTTATCACCAGAAAGTGTCATTCTAGTATAGTCTGTCTTTTTTTGGAGATTGCTGGATGACAATCAAAAACTTACTTAAAGATGTGTTGGAGAAATCTCTTATGGAATATTTAGTTCGTACATTATATAAATGTAATTAAATTTAATTATATAATTGTAACTAATCTTAATTTTTTTTAATCCAAGAGAATGTGTTTTATTAAATTTCTCTGCTTTCATTTAAAGGTAGTTTTGTCGATCGTTTGCTCTTGGAAATTCTTATTAGAGAATAGAAATATGAAGGATTGGTTGGTAGCCTACAGAGAATTAGTAAATTTTGGTTTTGGATTATTCTTACCAAATCCTATTATATTGGACTAGAACCCACTAAAATGATACTATTTGCATAAAGATAGATTCCACAAGGGTATCGTGTAGATGGGATGAGTAGGAGGAATTTCTACATGTTATCTGGGTATTAAAATATGACCTGTTTAGAATAAAAGCTATTTTAATTTTTTTGGACCCTTGAAGGTAAATATTCAAAGACTCTGGAGGTTTCTTCCAGATGTTCCAGGTGTTCCAGGTGTTGACAGCTTTTTCTGAATATTCTCCATAACATGTAGTTGAAAGGAAAAACCCTCCCACACATGCAATCATGCAATCCCAGCATAGACTACCACCACAGTTGCTTTCTGATTCTTATGAAACAAAAAAACCTTGTGTCCTCAATAAGAAATCCTCTGTAGATTGAACAGTTGTAGATCATTCATCTCCAGTACACACAGGATGCTCTGCAAACTTTTGGAAAAACTGTGGAGAAATCAGTAGATGCTATCATAAAAGTAGTGTAAATGCTTTATAGGAGTTTTTTTATTAAGGGGTTCACATATTTCTCCCGAAGCAGCTTTGGTCAATATTTGATTTGGACAATGTCTTTTAAATTGATCCCAAACAAAATCTTGCTCCTTTGTAAATTTCTGAGCTATACCAATGAGAAATTTACTAAAATGTGTACATTTGTGATTAAAATGTGTAGTATTGGT